GCAGCACCAAGGCTGCTTATTCACATTTTAAGCTCATCCCTCTCATAAGCAAGGAACATTTGGACAAAGCCTCATTCCTAGAAATCATTTCCTGTGGGAGAGTGCTTGGTTAAAGCTGGGGGCTCCCCCAGCCCTGCGTGGTTATGGCTGATCTGGGCTCGTGTTGGCTTTCAAAGCTTTTGAGTCTAATCCTTGCAGTATTTACTCTGCATCTCATAAGACCATTTACCCAGGGGAGGGCTTAACCCTGCACACTTTGTGGAATACTTTGTGAGAGTAATTTTCCTCTCAGAGTTCCCTCAATAAGGCAGGCAGCACTGCAGAAGGGCAGGATCACTGCAGGCAGCCCCAGGAAAGTGCCTGCACATGTTAAAGGGGAAGGGCAGAGCCCCCAGGAGGGGCAGGAGAGCCTGGAACTCTGTAAAATCCACTGCACAGCATTGGAGCTGTGAGAGGGGAATGGTCCAGCCAGGTGTGAGAGCACCTGCTCATTTCCTGAGCACCTGCAGGGTGGGGACTGAGCCCCTTCCTGACCCCCCTGTGGGGAGGAACCTCTGCCAATGTCCCACCTGAGCCTCCAGTGCAGCTGGAATGGGGAGGAACCTCTGCAATGTCCCACCTGAGCCTTCCAGTGCAGCTGGAATGGGGAGGGAACTCTGCCAATGTCCCACCTGAGCCTCCAGGTGCTGCTGGGGGCACTGTGTGTGCTTGGGGATTTGCAGTGACCTGTCAGACATCCTTATCTGGGTCAGGATTAATGAATAGAGGCTCAGGACACGCTGTGAAACCCTGCCCCTGTCAGAGGAGGGAGCAGGGCAGGGCAGATGTGTCACAGACATCTTCTATGGAAAATCCTTTCCTTAGGATTGTTCCTCCTGAGAAGCTGAGACACCTCAGGAACAAAATGCAAACAATGGTTATCTGCTGCTGTGGGATGCAACAGGTGCATCTGGGATTGGTCTCGTGTGGTTGTTTCTAATTAATGGCCAATCACAGTCAGCTGGCTTGGGCTCTCTGTCTAAGACACAAACCTTTGTTATCATTCTTTCCTATTCTATTCTTAGCCAGCCTTCTGATGAAATCCTTTCTTCTATTCTTTTAGTATAGTTTAAGTGTAATATATATCATAAAATAATAAATCAGCCTTGTGAAACATGGAGTCAGATCCTCGTCTCTCCCTCATCCTCAGACCCCTGTGAACATGGTCACAGGGATGGGGGCTCAGGGTGCAGGATGAGCCCCTGGGCAGTGCAGATGGGGGCTCAGGGTGCAGGATGAGCTCTCCATGGAGCCAGCAGTGCTGACTGCTCTGCCTGGCCCTGCCCTACAAGCACACAGATTTATTTTCCTGTTACTGCCTCTGCACAAGTCCCTTCCCTGCTCTCTCCTCCCTGGAGTGATGGATGGAGTGATCCAAAGTCTGGGCAGAGCTCATCATCCTACCTGGTGAAAAGGATGAGGCTCAGCAGAGGGGAGCAATGAAAAACTCCTGTGAAACCCAGCAAAGGGGAAGAACTAATGAAACGCCAGGAGGAAAGGGCTGTGGCACTGTTCTTAGCAGGTGTCCCCTCAGGTGTGATCCCTGCATGCCCTGGGCAGTGTGGCTGCTCCCCAGCCATGAGAGCAGTGAAATAAAACCTCTGTCCCAGCTGTGGTGGGTGTGCTCACCTCTGGGCTCAGCTCAGTGCTTTCCCTGAGCTGCTGTGCTCTTGGAGTGTTCCCAAGAGGAAAATCAAGGTTTGTTTCTCCCTGGGAGAAGCTGCTGCACAGCCCAACAGCCTTTCCCCCCTGCCCGTTGGGCTGCACATGGAAATAACAATAACTTTTTATCTCATGCATGATAAACCATTAAAAAAGTCTGGAGTGTAATAAAAGCTGCAGTCAGAGCTGGTCCCAGGTGGCCCCTCTGCCCACGGGTGAATTTGCAGCCTGGGCCTGAATCCTCCTTCTCCTTGAGCAGCCCCCTGAGAGGCATCAGCAGGGCTGAGGGTGGATGGAAGGGCCATTTCCCACACCTCTGCAATTATTGTACTTGACAAAATAGAGCAGGGAAAGTGTGCAGTGGCAAATAAAGGGAGATTGAGGTTAGTAACGAGGTGTGTGTCCCTGTGGGTAATTCCTGCTGCTTTCTGTGCAATAAATGGTGTCACACAGATTCCCCAGCCCTGCTCCTCCCTCTGGGGTGCCTGGGAGGGCTCAGTTCCCAACCAGGGCTTGTTCACAAAGGAGGGGGGAGAGGAGTCAATGAGGAGCTGTCAGTGTCTGACAGGAGCTGGCAGACCCCAAATCACAATTCCTTCCCTCCATACAAGGCTGCTGTGGGGTAGCTGAGTGGGTTTCACTGGTTTGATGTGTTTGTGCTGCGGAGGGGAGCAGAGCAGCTCACCTGCCTGCAGAGGGAACAGCTCCCACCTGCTGCAGAGAGTTCCAGGTTTGGGAGCTCAGAGCTGTGAGAAGGCAGGCACAGACACGGGGCAGGTCAGGGGGCACAGCTGGGGCATGTTCCTGAGATCCCCCCACATCTGCNTGGCACCGGTGGGTGGCACTGGTGGGTGGCACCGGTGGCACTGGTGAGTGGCACTGGTGACACTGGTGAGTGGCACCGGTGGGTGGCACTGGTGAATGGCACTGGTGGGTGGCACCGGTGGGTGGCACCGGTGAGTGACACGGGTGAATGGCACTAGTGAGTGGCACTGGTGGGTGGCACAGGTGGGTGGCACTGGTGGTGGCACTGGTGAGTGGCACCGGTGGGTGGCACTGGTGGTGGCACTGGTGAATGGCACTGGTGAATGACACTGGTGAATGGCATGGTGAGTGGCACCGGTGGGTGGCACTGGTGAATGGCACTGGTGAGTGACACTGGTGGTGGCACTGGTGAGTGGCACTGGTGGCACTGGTGAATGGCACCGGTGGGTGGCACTGGTGGTGGCACTGGGCTGGCAGGGCAGGGAGCCCTGGCAGAGCCAGGCACACAGAGCTGCACTCTCCTGAGCTTGCAGACTGAGGAGAACAGAAACAGGCAGGCTCTGAGCCTGATCCAGCTGCCCTGGAGGCCTCAGGGGCTGGTGCAGCAGGGCCTCCCCAGGCTGCTTGTGTTGGGCTTGGTTTCATTGGGTTTGGTTTAGGGAAAAGCATCTTCTCTGCTGAGCACTCTCAGAGACACTGAACCCTCACCAGGGTGTCTGTATGGGAGGCATGGACAATGTCCAGGGACATTGGAGGCCTGAATGTGGGATGCTTTTGTTTGTTTGTTTGTTTGTTTGTTTGTCTTTACAAGGTGATTCCCCCTCCAGTGCCCCTCCCCAACCTGCCCCTGCCTTTATTTCTCTTTCCAAGGCAATTCCTCAAACACTCTGTGCACGGAGCCTCCCGACCCTGCTTAGTGTAATCAGATAAACATTGATTGCACTTAACCTCACCCAGCTTCAGATGGAGACTTTCAGTGGTTAATTAACAATTGTTAATGGCTGTGGCTGTGGGAGGATGCTTTTGTTCCTGTGCTGTGTGCCCAGGGCTGCCCAGGGTCCCCAGCTGCCACCACCCTGTCCAGCCCTGCCTGGGATACAAATAAAAAATAAATAAATAAATGTCTGAGTGCACAGCCCGTGTCATTGCCATGATTTGCTCCAGAGGAACTGCTCCGTGTAGGAAAGTTATTTTTAAACACCATTAATTCCTGTTGTTGCTGCAAAGGTTCTCTTGTACATCCAATTAAAAACCACGCTTGGTGTAATTTGTAACTGGAGAAAAATCGATTCCAGCGACAAGCCCTTCATGTTCAGGGGTTTGGTGTCAGGTGAGGGGCTCTGAAAGGGAGTCCCAGGTGAGGCAGAACATCNTTCTGTTCATTTACACTTTGCTGCTTTTTGGCCGTTTCCCCCAGATTTAAATGAGTTTTGCTCTCCCTGCTGCCGGTGCAGGGGATGATTCACAGCTGTCACGGGCACAGGACCCTGGCACAGCCCCTGCTCCTCCTCACAAACCCCAGCACTGCCCCTGCCCAAACCCCCCAGGACACTTTGGGGTGAGCTGTGCAGCTTTAGGGTCGCTGTCAGGGGTGTTTTGGGCTGTCCCTGTGCCTGGCCAGGAGCTCCTTGCTGCAGCAGCTCAGCTCTCACAGTACAGCTCCCCTGACAACGTGTGAAATGAACCCGGGCAAACAGAGCAGAGCTGAGCCTTGTGAGGCTCCCTGGTGCTGTCACACGGTGAGGAGCAGGAACTTTCTGGCACCTTTTCTGAGCAGGCTGTTCCTGAAATGTGGAACACACTCAACACAGGGCTGTGGGGTGAGAACAGGCAGGAAACACCAGCACAGAAATCATCAGCAATTCACTGCATGTGCAGAGAGAGGCACCACCCTGCTGCCAGGCTCAGGTGAGGTGTTTCCGCCCTGGATTTACAGAGGGTTTGGTTAGAGCCAGCAGTAATTGCTGACATTCTCTCTGGATTTAGCACACTTTTCTGTACAGGGCTCTGAGCAGGTGAGAAGTCAGAAATCTCTCAGTGGTCCCTCTGCTCCTGCTGCTGCTGTGCTGTCAATCACCCTGCCCTAATCTGGGTATTCCTCACCACGAGATCCCTTCAAGGCCTGTGAAATCCTCAGGCTAAGTGCCCTGCTGCAGGGAGGGAGGCACTGCAGGGGGATGGGCTCTGGGCAGCTGTGCCTGCAGCTGGGGGCACTGAGGGTGTGCTGGGGTCAGGATCCAGCTGTGCCTGCAGCTGGGAGCAGTCAGGATGTGTTCAGCCCATGGCCCCAGCTCTGGGAGTGGTCAGGGTGTGCTCAGGGCTCCAGCTCGGGCTGCCTGTGCTGTGCTGCAGTGGGATGGGCTGGCAGAAGCAGCTGCAGTGGGTTTGGATCAATGTGAGGGAGCAGAGACAGCTGGGTTTGGATCAGTGTGAGGTGTAAGGGAGCCTTTGGGAGCGCTCAGTGATGCTCTGGGAGAGGGAGATTGGGGCAGCTGGGTGAGAGGGGCAGGGATGGGGGTGGATGTGGAGGGTGTGGGTGTGATGTGGATGTAGATATAGATGTGGAGGATCTGGATTTGGATGATGTTGATGTAGATATAGATGCGGATGGTGTGGAGGATCTGGATATAAATGTGGATGATTTGGATGGGGATATGGATATAGATGATGTGGTGTGGATATGGACTTGGATGATGTAGGTGGTGTGGGTGTGGATGATGTGGGTGTGGGTATGGATGATGCAGATGATGTGGGTGTGGTGTGGGGTGGATGTGGAGGATCTGGATGTGGATGATTTGGATGATGTAGGTGATGTGGTGTGGGTGTGGATATGGATGATGTGGGTGATGTGGTTGGGGACATGGATGGTGTGGGTGTGGGTGGCTGTGGATGTAGATATGGTTTTGGATGATGTGGATATGGACATGGATGATGTAGGTGTGGATGTTGATGCAGATGCTGTGGGCACAGACACATAGCCAGGCTTTGGAGGATTCTCTGTGTGGGGAGCCCTTTCCTGTGGCTGTTCCCAGAGCCTGTCTGGCTGCTGAGGGTGTTTCTGTGATATTTGCTCTGAGGAGCACTCTGGGCTCCTGCTCCCCCTGTTCCTGACTGAGCACCCCAGCCTGCAGAGCCTGGCTGGTGATGGATGGGGATGTGGCAGCGTCTGCAGGGAGTGCATTCTGACAAGGTGAACTCTGCTGCTCTAAAACCTTCTTCCCATTCGGTGTTCAGCAGCTTTCATGTGTCACAGCCACACAGGATGTCTGAGAGCACCCCAGGGCTCTAACCCACTTACAGAGAAGCTCTGTGGCCAGCCCAGCTCTGGGAACAGAGGGGGGTTGTTCTCTACCAGGTATAAATCTGAAGGTAGGGATTCCACTTCTTTCCCAGACAAAAAAGTGGTTTGAAAACTTGGCTTCTGGAGGTAGAAAAATGCCAGAGTAAATAGATTTTTTTTTTGCAATTTCTTTACATTTAGAACAGAGACCCTGTGCTTTCTGTGTAATCTTATTTTATGCTGATTTATCTGCTTTATGTTGAATGTGTATTTTGATGGAATTATTTTGTTGGGAAAATTATACGAAATAACATCTCTGTCTGGTGCAGAGCGGCTGCTATGGCTCCTGCAGGGCAGGGTGAGCTCTCCCTGCTGCCACTTGCCCACTCCTTGGCCCAGGGAGCTGCTTCCCAGTTTATCCTCTCAGAGTTTGTGCTTTCCTTCCTCTTTCACAGCTTTGGTGCTGCTTCCTGCGCTGAGTTACACTCCCTGCCTCTTGCAAAATGTGCTGCAGATCTGCTGTGCCAGAATTAGACTGCTAAAATTTGGAGTTTGGGGTGTCACTGAGTGTGGTGCAACACTGGAGCTCCCTGTCAGCTGCTCGAGCAGCAGCTTCTGCTGGGGGCCAGGGAATCACCAGGGGATGGTTTGGGTGGGAAGGGACCCCAAATCCCCCCCAGTGCCACCCCAGCCATGGCAGGGACACCTCCCACTGTCCCAGGTGCTCCCAGCCCCAATGTCCAGCCTGGCCTTGGGCACTGCCAGGGATCCAGGGGCAGCCACAGCTGCTCTGGGCACCTGTGCCAGGGCTGCCCACCCTGCCAGGGAACAATCCCCAATTCCCAATATCTCAATCTCCGGTTAAATTTCCCCTCTCTCCCTTTGTGCCCATTGCTCCTTGTGCCATCGGTTCCTGCTGAAAATCTCTGTGAATCCCCAGACTCTGCGAGGGCTCCCCACACCTTTCTCCTCTCCAGGTGAGCACCCCCAGCTCTCCCAGCCCATTTTTTGGTGGATTTGCTCCTTTTTGCCTTCCTGGCCCCCCCTGCTGTCTCTGGTGCAGGAGCTGCTCAGGCTGGTGCTGTCCATCTCTGAATTCCCCAGCTCCCTCTCTGAGCACTTAGGGCCAGTTTGCCCCACTCAGGGACTGCAGAGCTGCATTATTTCAATAATTAAAACCAGAACAATCTGATAAAATAGTTGGCATTTTTGCCTTCTGCTTAGAGACAAAACTTTTATTGCAGCAAATGGAACTAAAATCAATATACATGGAAATGACTCGCATTTGGGGACCCTGGGTATTGTTGATTTAATACTATTTATTTAACAGCTTGGCAAATGTGTGGTTTGTCTGTCTCGATAGATTTTGAAGAAAATGATAATGTTTTATAGTAAACAGTATAAAAATTCAAGCAAAGGCATCTTAATCAACTCCTATAAAAATTAAATGAGAGATTGAACATGTCACAAGCTCAAGTCTGTTTTGTCATGCTGCTCATATTAATGCTGCAGCTCCTTTTGTGTTGGCTCCATCAATATTCATGAGGGCTTGAGTGCAGAAGTGTGCCTTTCTTCCTGGGCTTCCCTCCTGCCTTGTCTCCAGCCAAGATGCAAACCTCTCCAGCCCTTAGAAACAGCAGATTGTCTTCAGCAGCCTGTTGGACGTAAGCAGAAGTGACATCTGTGGCATCCTGAATGTCAGCCTTATCCTGGATCCCAACACACAACTTCAGCTGGAGCTGGTGATAAAACCCTGACATTCCTGCAGCTTGGGGCAAACCTGGAGGAACCAACCCAGCAGCCCAGCCTGGCCCCTGCACTGGGCTGGGACATTTTGGGTCTGCTGGGTTAAGGGGATAAATGACTCTTCATGTCCAGTGCTTTTCCAGCTGGGAGCCCTTGTGATGAAGTCCCTGAGTGGTGGAAAGGGTCCTGATGGCCTTTGCTGCTCTGAAAACAGTTTTTTAAAGGATTGCCAGGAAGGAGGGTTTAATTCCTCTCTTTGACTGAGGAGGCAGTTTGGTAGCTCCTGTCTTCCCATGGTGGGGATGACTGCTCTCCCCTTCTCACTGAACATCAAACAAGCCTGAATAATATCTACTTTGATGTATTTATTTCATAAAAGCCAAAAAGGTGTGCTGGGAGATCAAGAACCTGTCTTTGGAGAAATCCCTATCAAGGAGTTTGGAGATGAAGGTCTCTCTTGCTCCATGGCAGTGCTAACGCAGTGAATTACAAACCATGAAGGAATAAATTTGCATTCATATTTATTGAAGGCAATCCTGAAATATCCCCGAGCAAGAGAGACTTGTGTTTTGAAAGAGAAAGTAAGGTGACATTGGTAATCAAAGCAGTGGCTGTGGGATGGGGAGTGTCACTGCTGGGGCAAACCCAGGAACTTCAGAGCAGCTTCTGCCCAAAGCAGTGCCAGGACAAAGGGGAATAGCTTTAACTGGAGGAGAGATGATTTGGGTTGGATTTTGGGAAGAAACCCATCCCTGGCAGGGTGGGCAGCCCTGGCACAG